AACGTTGTTGATCCGAGACTTCTCCATCGACTGCAGAGAAACAAACCTTTAAATCAGTTTCTGTTTCCAACTAAACACTGAGAACTGTGTTTGAGAAAGATGCTCCACTCCCCACGGGCTCCGTTACTGGAAAAGGAGATGGCTAAAGCTAGGCTAAATGCTAAAGCTAGGCTAAATGCTAACGACTTACCCGGGCTCATTACATACGTCACAGTAAACTCAGATCCAATGGTTTCAATCTGCAAAAGGAGTTAGCCCCTCCCACCTGTTCACGGAGCCAATGGAGCAGATCCAGACCTTAGTATGAAATGAGTACTATGGTGCGGTAAGACCAGGGTAGCTCCAGACTCTGGTTCAGACCCTACTTCTCTGCCAGATATTCCATGTCACTGCACCTCGTCAGCGAGTGAGTTTTTAGTCCAACTTGTCCTGGTTCAGTCCTGGTTCTGTCCCGGTTCAGTCCTGGTTCAGTCCTGGATCAGTCCTGGTTCAGACCTGGTTCAGACCTGGTTCAGTCCTGGTCCAGTCCTGGTACAGTTCTGGTTCAGACCTGGTTCAGACCTGGTTCTCAGTAGACTCAGATTAGACTCTGTTCCTTTCTCATTTCTCTCATTTCCCATTAAAACAAACAGTCGTATTGATATAAAGTGTGTTTGTCCAGTGTGTGTTTGTGGTCAGCGGGGGGGGGTCAAAAGGGGGAAGGGGGTCAACAGAGAGAGAGAGGGGGGGGTCAGCAAGGGGGGTGGGGGTTTCACTGTGATTGCGACTCCAAATAAAGGTGTTATGATTCTGGGCTCTCTGTGTTCAGTAATGAGGCAGTAATGACATTTGGGGAGGGGGAGGAGGGGGGTGAGGAGGGGGGGGTGAGGAGGAGGGGGGTGAGATAATGTGACTGAGCCCCCCCCCCCCAGGTTTAATATCAGGCTCTGGGAGGGGGGGGGTGTTATTGCAGAATGATATTAGCGAACACACACGAGTCCTGAGTTACAGATTCTTTACATTCTCTGCTGTTTCACCACGGGGAGAACATGCAAACTCCACTCAGAAAGGCCGGGATTCGAACCCAGGACCTTCTGGCCAGAGGAACCAGAGACCCAGAGACCCAGAGACCCAGATACCCAGAGACCCAGATACCCAGAGACCCAGAGACCCAGAGACCCAGAGACCCAGAGACCCAGATACCCAGAGACCCAGAGACCCAGAGACCCAGAGACCCAGACACACACAGACCCAGATACCCAGAGACCCAGAGACCCAGAGACCCAGAGACCCAGAGACCCAGACACACACAGACCCAGATACCCAGAGACCCAGATACCCAGAGACCCAGAGACCCAGAGACCCAGACACACACAGACCCAGATACCCAGAGACCCAGATACCCAGAGACCCACAGACCCAGACACCCACAGACCAGAGACCAGAGACCCAGAGACCCAGATACCCAGAGACCCAGATACCCAGAGACCCAGAGACCCAGAGACCCAGAGACCCAGATACCCAGAGACCAGAGACCAGAGACCCAGACACCCAGACCCAGAGACCCAGAGACCCAGATACCCAGAGACCCAGATACCCAGAGACCCAGAGACCCAGAGACCCAGACACACACAGACCCAGATACCCAGAGACCCAGATACCCAGAGACCCACAGACCCAGACACCCACAGACCCAGAGACCAGAGACCCAGAGACCCAGATACCCAGAGACCCAGATACCCAGAGACCCAGAGACCCAGAGACCCAGAGACCCAGAGACCCAGATACCCAGAGACCAGAGACCCACAGACCCAGAGACCCAGAGACCCAGACACCCACAGACCCAGAGACCAGAGACCCACAGACCCAGAGACCCAGAGACCCAGAGACCCAGACCCAAAGACCCAGAGACCCAGACACCCAGACCCAGAGACCCAGATACCCACAGACCCAGAGACCCAGAGACCCAGAGACCAGAGACCCACAGACCCAGAGACCCAGACACCCACAGACCAGAGACCAGAGACCCACAGACCCAGAGACCCAGAGACCCAGACACACACACCTAGACACCCACAGACCCAGAGACCAGAGACCCACAGACCCAGAGACCCAGAGACCCAGAGACCCAGACCCAAAGACCCAGAGACCCAGAGACCCAGACCCAAAGACCCAGAGACCCAGACACCCAGACCCAGAGACCCAGATACCCACAGACCCAGAGACCCAGAGACCCAGAGACCAGAGACCCACAGACCCAGAGACCCAGAGACCCAGACACCCACAGACCCAGAGACCCAGAGACCCAGAGACCAGAGACCCACAGACCCAGAGACCCAGAGACCCAGACACACACACCTAGACACCCACAGACCCAGAGACCAGAGACCCACAGACCCAGAGACCCAGATACCCACAGACCCAGAGACCCAGAGACCAGAGACCAGAGACCCACAGACCCACAGACCCACAGACCCACAGACCCAGAGACCAGAGACCCACAGACCCAGAGACCCAGAGACCCAGACACACACACCTAGACACCCACAGACCCAGAGACAGAGACCCACAGACCCAGAGACCCAGAGACCCAGACACACACAGACCCAGAGACCAGAGACCCAGACCCAGAGACCCAGAGACCCAGAGACCCAGAGACCCAGAGACCCAGACACACACAGACCCAGAGACCAGAGACCCACAGACCCAGAGACCCAGAGACCCACAGACCCACAGACCCAGACACACACAGACCCAGAGACCCGGAGACCCACAGACCCAGAGACCCGGAGACCCACACACCTAGACACCCACAGACCCAGAGACCCGGAGACCCACACACCTAGACACCCACAGACCCAGAGACCAGAGACCCACAGACCCAGAGACCCAGAGACCCAGAGACCCAGACCCAAAGACCCAGAGACCCAGACACCCAGACCCAGAGACCCAAACCTCTCTGTCCCTGTGGAATCGATGTTTCCATTATGAACTCAGAGCGGTGAGACCAGAGAGAGACCGGTGACAGGAGGAGCATTGATCTCTGGGGAAAAGGATTCATAAAGACTTCAATACTGAGGCTATTAGACGTGAGGGATTGTCCCGGTGTCATGCTGGTCCTCTCCTGTCTCTCTCCTGGTCTCGTGCCGGTCCTCTCCTGTCTCTCTCCTGGTCTCGTGCCGGTCCTCTCCTGTCTCTCTCCTGGTCTCGTGCCGGTCCTCTCCTGTCTCTCTCCTGGTCTCGTGCCGGTCCTCTCCTGTCTCTTTCCTGGTCTCGTGCCGGTCCTCTCCTGTCTCTCGCCCAGAACACAGAAGAACAATCATAGTTGTATGCTAATTTGCTTTTTGACTTTATATTTGTGTAACTATTTGTCTGTAACTTAGAGATCATTCGTTTATATTTAGTAAAGGTAATCTTGTTTAAATTTAGTGAGTACAGAGAAATTATAGTAGAAACTGTTGTCATTCTCAGATGTATCGGGGGACCGAATTGACCGTGACCCTCAGACACAACCTGGGATTGAAAAGAGTGCTGAGTCATTCCTTCTCTGAGACTTTTCTTAATGTTTTACAGGTTTGTATTTGGCCAGAAACGCCACAATTAAAACCTCTACACCTGAGAGTACCTGTGGTAGACTTAACCACCTTAACCCTAACCTTAACCATCTTACTCAGGACAACCTTAACCCTAACCTTAGCCATCTTACTCAGACCACCTTAACCCTAACCTTAACCATCTTACTCAGACCACCTTAACCCTAACCTTAACCATCTTACTCAGACCACCTTAACCCTAACCTTAACCATCTTACTCAGACCACCTTAACCCTAACCTTAACCATCTTACTCAGACCACCTTAACCTTCTAGCTTTTGTTACCTCATATTTTATAACCCTAACCTGTTCAAATGTCCGATGAAAGTGAGTGTCCGCAGTGTGGCCTGTAACATCTCCCTCGCACTGGTCCCTCTCGGTCTCCTGAGAAGCCCTCGGAGAGCTTCATTATAAACCACCTTTTTTATAACAGGACCAAAGATGGCCGACGCACATACAGAACGCCTTCAAGAGCAGTATTTTGACCGAGTCTGTACAGGATCCAAATCCGCAACACCTGAATCTTGTTGAATCAATGGTTATTGTCATATATGTGTTGTTCTTGCATTTGTTGTTTTAGGAGCATAAGTATTTATATATTTTTTGTCTCCTGAGACTTGAATGACATAAAACAACTGCATCACATCCGAGACGTCCACATGTGTTGGATTCAGCAGTTAAAGTGTGTTACCTGGCTGCCCTCCTTCTGCCAGAAGACTGCAGGCTGCGGGTTCCCTTTGGTCTCACAGGGGAAGGTGGCGGTGCGTCCCTGAGCCACGATCTGGTCCCGCGGCCGAACCACGAACTGGGGGGCGGCTGTGGACGGGACAGGGGGGCGGGGCCAGGGCAGAGGGGGAGGAGTCAGGGCAGAGGGGGAGGAGACAGGACATGGGTCAGAGTGGTCAGAGAGGAGCAGACATTGGTCAAAAAGCAAGGAGTGGAGGATTTGAGAAAAGGTTCTGCCATTCCATTTGAAACAGTTCTCGACGTGTAACCATAGTAACCGAAACGCCTTTGGTCCGGGTCAGACCTGAATGAATGAAACCACAGAGACACAGTCCTGCTAACAAACACACTGTTAGTATTATAGTCTCGATTGAAGTAAACCGATGGGTCTAATGCAGGGTCTAAGGCAGACCTGAGCAAAGTGTGGTCCGAGAGCCACATCCGGCCCGATCCATGTTTCCATGCGGCCCCCGGACACTTCCCAGTTGTTAACCTCATTGGACGAGCTGTTTTCTATTTGAGCTCGTCCAATGAGACTGGTGTTGTCTGCAAACGTCACCAGTTTCAGGGAGTGGTGTCTGGAGGAGCAGAGGTGGGAGCACAGAGAAGAGCATCGGAGAAAGAACACAGCCCTGAGGAGCTCCTGTGTTTCTAATCAACTCATTTATATCATCAAGGAATGGATGATAATGATTATAATGCACCAGGCCCTGCTTCAGAGTCTGACAGGATCTGGCTTTCACCTGCAAATGACTGAACTCTGTCCCTGGTCTCTCTCTGGTCTCTCTCTTTCTGGCCTCTCTCTGGTTTCTCTCTTTAGTCTCTCTCTGGTCTCTCTCTGGTCTCTCTCTGGTCTCTCTCTCTAGTCTCTCTCTGGTCTCTCTCTGGTCTCTCTCTAGTCTCTCTCTGGTCTCTCTCTGGTCTCTCTCTCTGGTCTCTCTCTCTGGTCTCTCTCTAGTCTCTCTCTGGTCTCTCTCTGGTCTCTCTCTGGTCTCTCTCTGGTCTCTCTCTTTCTGGCCTCTCTTTAGTCTCTCTCTGGTCTCTCTCTGGTCTCACTCTCTGGTCTCTCTCTCTAGTCTCTCTCTGGTCTCTCTCTGGTCTCTCTCTGGTCTCTCTCTAGTCTCTCTCTGGTCTCTCTCTGGTCTCTCTCTCTGGTCTCTCTCTCTGGTCTCTCTCTAGTCTCTCTCTGGTCTCTCTCTGGTCTCTCTCTGGTCTCTCTCTGGTCTCTCTCTAGTCCCTCTCTCTAGTCCCTCTCTCTAGCCTCTCTCAGCTCTCTCTAGTCTCTCTCTGGTCTCTCTCACGCAGGTCTCTCCCTCTAGTCTCTCTCTGGTCTCTAGTCTCTCTCTAGTCTCTCTCTAGTCTCTCTCTGGTCTCTCTCTCTGGTCTCTCTCTCCGGTCTCTATCTCGCTGGTCTCTCTCTCTAGTCTCTCTCTCTAGTCTCTCTCTCTGGTCTCTCTCTAGTCTCTCTCTAGTCTCTCTCTCTAGTCTCTCTCTCTCTCTCTCTGGTCTCTCTCTAGTCTCTCTCTAGTCTCTCTCTCTGGTCTCTCTCTGGTCTCTCTCTAGTCTCTCTCTCTAGTCTCTCTCTCTGGTCTCTCTCTCTGGTCTCTCTCTCTGGTCTCTCTCTGGTCTCTCTCGCTGGTCTCTCTCTCTCTAGTCTCTCTCTCTAGTCTCTCTCTCTGGTCTCTCTCTAGTCTCTCTCTAGTCTCTCTCTCTAGTCTCTCTCTCTGGTCTCTCTCTCTGGTCTCTCTCTCTGGTCTCTCTCTGGTCTCTCTCGCTGGTCTCTCTCTCTAGTCTCTCTCTCTAGTCTCTCTCTCTGGTCTCTCTCTAGTCTCTCTCTAGTCTCTCTCTCTAGTCTCTCTCTCTGGTCTCTCTCTCTGGTCTCTCTCTCTGGTCTTCTATAGTTACAGTTACAGGAAAAGGCTCTGTGTTTAGAGAAAAATAGTTAAAAATGAGGGCTATTCTGCGGCTGCAGATTAGTGTCAGATCTGTCCCTGATAGTGCTTCCAGCCCAGGCTCGTGGGCAGCTGCGACGGGGCTCCTCCATGTTGGCTGCGCTCCTGCCTGTAATCCTGCGTCTGGGTGCGATTTCTCCGTGTGTTTGACAAAGATACACAGTGGGGAGAGGGGCAGATGGCTCCAGATTTACTGCCTGCATTCCCCTCATGGCCTGAACCGGAGGAGCAGCTCCTAAATCACACTTTGGCAAAGAGAAAGAGTCTTTCCAAAAATGCCATGGCTCCACAGTGTTCTATGCCCTCAGTCATAACTTACAGCAAGAAAAGCCTTATTCTATGTATACATGACTGTCTCTATACATGTGGGACAGAAGTGTGAATTATGTAAGCGCCGTATGGGGTGAAAACGGCACCAAGGACATTTTAAATATTACAAAGAATAAGCCAATTTAAAAAGGTAGGTTTTGAGATGAGATTTTCAATTGTCCAGATGGGCCGGCGTGTGTGGATGGAGCGGGTCAGTCAGAATGAGGGGCCAGGACCTGCGGAGGAGTTTAGACTGGGTTCTGTGGGTTATGGGGAGCCAGGGGAGTTAGATGAGCACCAGACTGATGTATTGTGTTGGTTTAGTTTGGGTGATGATCCTGGCAGCCGAGACCGTAATCTCTCTCTCTGGTCAAATGCCAACAATAGTAGTTTATCACCACCGTGTTTGCAGTGAAAGAAGCGTCTTTGAGTGTCCTAAAAAGCACTACATAAACCGTCCATCCATCCATTCATTTTCTTCCCCTTAATCCATTTCTGGGGTGGGGGGGTGGCACTCAGCTGCAATTTCATATAAAACCAATGCATTATTATCATTAGTATTAGTATTAGTATTAAATGCTTGTGAGAAGTTCAGACATTGTGCATCACTTCCTGGTTCGGCTGTTACTACGGTTACCACAGCTAGGCTCTCTCTAGCCCGTTAGCCTCCTCTGGGACCTCTGCTCCAGGACCCTTATCAATACACTGAAGTGAGTCAAATAGACCTTGATCTGGGCTCTTGGTTGTTTTGACATTCGCAACCTGTCCTCTCTGTGACGGCACATGTTTGTCCTCTCCGTGACGCCACATGTTCATCATAATTCATAATTCATGGCAGCAGCCGGCCCATTAGAGCCGGGCGCGGAGGCTGGACGGCTCCTCTGCGTTCTTAAATCACGCTCAATCATATTTTATTCACCAGTCTTCTGCAATTACCGCCTCCTCCTCCTCCTGCGGCCTTCTGTTCACTACATGTAATTTCCTCTGACTTCTGGAAATCTGACAGTTGCACAATTGTCGTCGTGGCAACCGTGTTTTTGGCGAGTAAGGAACAGCGAGTGTCTTTTGAGTGTTTTATGTTGGATGTGAGCGATTGTGATTGGACTCGTTCTGTCCCATCTGTGCCATGATCTACAGGCCTGCCACAGTCCAGCACAACCTGACAATCTCTAATATCGCTAATACCACATACAAGGCAAGCTAACAATCCAAGCTAACAATCCAAGCTAACAATCCAAGCTAACAATCCAAGCTAACGATCCAAGCTAACGATCCAAGCTAACGATCCAAGCTAACGATCCAAGCTAACGATCCAAGCTAACGATCCAAGCTAACAATCCAAGCTAACGATCCAAGCTAACGATCCAAGCTAACGATCCAAGCTAACGATCCAAGCTAACAATCCAAGCTAAAAATCCAAGCTAACAATCCAAGCTAACAATCCAAGCTAACAATCCAAGCTAACAATCCAAGCTAACAATCCAAGCTAACAATCCAAGCTAACAATCCAAGCTAACAATCCAAGCTAACAATCCAAGCTAACAATCCAAGCTAAAAATCCAAGCTAACAATCCAAGCTAACAATCCAAGCTAACAATCCAAGCTAACAATCCAAGCTAACGATCCAAGCTAACGATCCAAGCTAACGATCCAAGCTAACGATCCAAGCTAACGATCCAAGCTAACGATCCAAGCTAACGATCCAAGCTAACGATCCAAGCTAACGACCAAGCTAACGATCCAAGCTAACGATCCAAGCTAACGATCCAAGCTAAAGATCCAAGCTAACGATCCAAGCTAACAATCCAAGCTAACAATCCAAGCTAACAATCCAAGCTAACGATCCAAGCTAACGATCCAAGCTAACGATCCAAGCTAACGATCCAAGCTAACAATCCAAGCTAAAAATCCAAGCTAACGATCCAAGCTAACGATCCAAGCTAACGATCCAAGCTAACGATCCAAGCTAACGATCCAAGCTAACGATCCAAGCTAACGATCCAAGCTAACGATCCAAGCTAACGATCCAAGCTAACAATCCAAGCTAACAATCCAAGCTAACAATCCAAGCTAACAATCCAAGCTAACAATCCAAGCTAACAATCCAAGCTAACAATCCAAGCTAACAATCCAAGCTAACAATCCAAGCTAACAATCCAAGCTAACAATCCAAGCTAACAATCCAAGCTAACAATCCAAGCTAACAATCCAAGCTAACAATCCAAGCTAACAATCCAAGCTAACAATCCAAGCTAACAATCCAAGCTAACAATCCAAGCTAACAATCCAAGCTAACGATCCAAGCTAACGATCCAAGCTAACGATCCAAGCTAACGATCCAAGCTAACGATCCAAGCTAACGATCCAAGCTAACAATCCAAGCTAAAAATCCAAGCTAACGATCCAAGCTAACGATCCAAGCTAACGATCCAAGCTAACGATCCAAGCTAACGATCCAAGCTAACGATCCAAGCTAACGATCCAAGCTAACGATCCAAGCCTAACGATCCAAGCTAACAATCCAAGCTAACGATCCAAGCTAACGATCCAAGCTAACGATCCAAGCTAACGATCCAAGCTAACGATCCAAGCTAACGATCCAAGCTAACGATCCAAGCTAACGATCCAAGCTAACAATCCAAGCTAACAATCCAAGCTAACAATCCAAGCTAACAATCCAAGCTAACGATCCAAGCTAACGATCCAAGCTAACGATCCAAGCTAACGATCCAAGCTAACGATCCAAGCTAACGATCCAAGCTAACAATCCAAGCTAACGATCCAAGCTAACGATCCAAGCTAACGATCCAAGCTAACAATCCAAGCTAAAAATCCAAGCTAACAATCCAAGCTAACGATCCAAGCTAACGATCCAAGCTAACAATCCAAGCTAACGATCCAAGCTAACGATCCAAGCTAACAATCCAAGCTAAAAATCCAAGCTAACAATCCAAGCTAACGAATCCAAGCTAACAATCCAAGCTAACAATCCAAGCTAACGATCCAAGCTAACAATCCAAGCTAACAATCCAAGCTAACAATCCAAGCTAACAATCCAAGCTAACAATCCAAGCTAACAATCCAAGCTAACAATCCAAGCTAACAATCCAAGCTAACAATCCAAGCTAACAATCCAAGCTAACAATCCAAGCTAACAATCCAAGCTAACAATCCAAGCTAACAATCCAAGCTAACAATCCAAGCTAACGATCCAAGCTAACGATCCAAGCTAACGATCCAAGCTAACGATCCAAGCTAACGATCCAAGCTAACAATCCAAGCTAACAATCCAAGCTAAAAATCCAAGCTAACGATCCAAGCTAACGATCCAAGCTAACGATCCAAGCTAACGATCCAAGCTAACGATCCAAGCTAACGATCCAAGCTAACGATCCAAGCTAACGATCCAAGCTAACGATCCAAGCTAACGATCCAAGCTAACGATCCAAGCTAACGATCCAAGCTAACGATCCAAGCTAACGATCCAAGCTAACGATCCAAGCTAACGATCCAAGCTAACGATCCAAGCTAACGATCCAAGCTAACGATCCAAGCTAACAATCCAAGCTAACAATCCAAGCTAACAATCCAAGCTAACAATCCAAGCTAACGATCCAAGCTAACGATCCAAGCTAACGATCCAAGCTAACAATCCAAGCTAACGATCCAAGCTAACGATCCAAGCTAACGATCCAAGCTAACGATCCAAGCTAACGATCCAAGCTAACGATCCAAGCTAACGATCCAAGCTAACGATCCAAGCTAACAATCCAAGCTAACAATCCAAGCTAACAATCCAAGCTAACAATCCAAGCTAACAATCCAAGCTAACAATCCAAGCTAACAATCCAAGCTAACAATCCAAGCTAACAATCCAAGCTAACAATCCAAGCTAAAAATCCAAGCTAACAATCCAAGCTAACAATCCAAGCTAACAATCCAAGCTAACGATCCAAGCTAACGATCCAAGCTAACGATCCAAGCTAACGATCCAAGCTAACGATCCAAGCTAACGATCCAAGCTAACAATCCAAGCTAAAAATCCAAGCTAACAATCCAAGCTAACAATCCAAGCTAACAATCCAAGCTAACAATCCAAGCTAACAATCCAAGCTAACGATCCAAGCTAACGATCCAAGCTAACGATCCAAGCTAACGATCCAAGCTAACGATCCAAGCTAACGATCCAAGCTAACGATCCAAGCTAACGATCCAAGCTAACAATCCAAGCTAACAATCCAAGCTAAAAATCCAAGCTAACAATCCAAGCTAACAATCCAAGCTAACAATCCAAGCTAACAATCCAAGCTAACAATCCAAGCTAACGAATCCAAGCTAACGATCCAAGCTAACGACATCCAAGCAACGCTCCAAGCTAACGATCCAAGCTAACGATCCAAGCTAACGAACGATCCAAGCTAACTATCCAAGCTAACAATCCAAGCTAACAATCCAAACAATCCAAGCTAACAATCCAAGCTAACAATCCAAGCTAACAATCCAAGCTAACAATCCAAGCTCCAAGCTAACAATCCAAGCTAACCAAGCTAACAATCCAAGCTAAATCCAATCCAAGCTAACGAACAATCCAAGCTAACAATCCAAGCTAACGATCCAAGCTAACGATCCAAGCTAACGATCCAAGCTAACAATCCAAGCTAACAATCAAGCTAACAATCCAAGCTAACATCCAAGCTAACGATCCAAGATAACGATCCAAGCTAAGCTAACGATCCAAGCTAACGATCCAAGCTAACGATCCAAGCTAACAATCCAAGCTAACGATCCAAGCTAACGATCCAAGCTAACGATCCAAGCTAACGATCCAAGCTAACGATCCAAGCTAACGATCCAAGCTAACGATCCAAGCTAACGATCCAAGCTAACGATCCAAGCTAACAATCCAAGCTAACAATCCAAGCTAACAATCCAAGCTAACAATCCAAGCTAACAATCCAAGCTAACAATCCAAGCTAACAATCCAAGCTTTGGTCTTCAGTGTCAAACCTTCATGACATATGGTCTGGACCAACTTTCCACCAGCACTACTTTACCTTACTCTACTCTACCATACTCTACCATACTCTACCCTGGTATTTGAAGCATTTACAGCTAGTTAAGAAGCATAGCTATAGCATAGCCATACTCTGCTCTACTCTACTCTATCCAATTCTACCTTAGACTACTCTACACTCCCAATTGGAGTAGGGTAGGGTAGGATAGAGTAGGGTAGTGGAGTAGAGTTGAGTAGAGTAGGGTGGAGTAGAGTAGAGTAGAGTAGAGTAGAGTAGAGTAGAGTGGAGTAGAGTAGAGTAGAGTAGAGTAGAGTGGAGTAGAGTAGAGTAGAGTAGGGTAGAGTAGGGTGGAGTAGAGTAGAGTAGAGTAGAGTAGAGTAGAGTAGAGTAGAGTAGAGAGTAGAGTAGAGTAGAGTAGAGTAGAGTAGAGTAGAGTAGAGTAGAGTAGAGTAGAGTAGAGTAGAGTAGAGTAGAGTAGAGTAGAGTAGAGTAGAGAGTAGAGTAGAGTAGAGTAGAGTAGAGTAGAGTAGAGTAGAGTAGAGTAGAGTAGAGTAGAGTAGAGTAGAGTAGAGTAGGGTAGAGTAGAGTAGAGTAGAGTAGAGTAGAGTAGAGTAGAGTAGAGTAGAGTAGAGTAGGTAGGGTAGAGTAGAGTAGAGTAGAGTAGAGTAGAGTAGAGTAGAGTAGAGTAGAGTAGAGTAGAGTAGAGTAGGGTAGAGTAGAGTAGAGTAGAGTAGGGTAGAGTAGAGTAGAGTAGAGTAGAGTAGAGTAGAGTAGAGTAGGTAGAGTAGAGTAGAGTAGAGTAGAGTAGAGTAGAGTAGAGTAGGGTAGAGTAGAGTAGAGTAGAGTAGAGTAGAGTAGAGTAGAGTAGAGCAGAGTAGAGTAGAGTAGAGTAGAGTAGGACTGGTGAAAACAGTGCTATATAAGCAGAACAAATGTCCGCTCTGAGGACTTTCTCTCCTCTGGTCCTGCCTCTCTGACAGCGACAGCCTGTTGGCAGCTGCAGAGTGGGCTCTAGTACTGCTCCAGACCTGGTCCAGACCTGCTCCAGACCTCCACAGACCTGGTCCAGATCTCCACAGATGGTACAACAGGAGCTGGACCTTTGGAGATGACTCTGTCTGAGAACTACAATCTGCTGTCTAATAATCCCCACAAGAAGAAATATCTTGTTATTAGTGACTTTTGTGTTAGCATTTGGCTGAGCTAGGAGCAGAGAGAACTACATAGACCATGATCCTTTGCCTTTCAGCCATTTACGTACTGACACTAACAGTCCTTCCTCAGTTCATATCACACAGAACAGATGCAGCTCCGTCGCTTGTCAGCCAAAGAAATGTGGATGAGAGGCTGAAAACACATCACCTGAGACTGAGGCAGATGCACACACAGCAGAGGAGGAGGCCTCAGGAGGAGAGGAGGAGGCCTCAGGAGGAGAGGAGGAGGGCTCAGGAGGAGAGGAGGAGGGCCCAGGAGGAGAGGAGGAGGGTCCAGGAGGAGAGGAGGAGGGTCCAGGAGGAGAGGAGGAGGGTCCAGGAGGAGAGGAGGAGGGCCCAGGAGGAGAGGAGGAGGCCTCGGGAGGAGAGGAGGGCCCAGGAGGAGAGGAGGCCTCGGGAGGAGAGGAGGAGAGCCCAGGAGGAGAGGAGGAGGGCCCAGGAGGAGAGGAGGAGGGCTCGGGAGGAGAGGAGGAGTGCCCAGGAGGAGAGGAGGAGGGCTCAGGAGGAGACGAGGAGGGCCCAGGAGCAGAGGAGGAGGGCCCAGGAGGAGAGGAGGAGGCCTCGGGAGGAGAGGAGGGCCCAGGAGGAGAGGAGGCCTCGGGAGGAGAGGAGGAGGGCCCAGGAGGAGAGGAGGAGGGCTCAGGAGGAGAGGAGGAGGGCCCAGGAGGAGAGGAGGAGGCCTCGGGAGGAGAGGAGGAGGCCTCGGGAGGAGAGGAGGAGGCCTCGGGAGGAGAGGAGGAGGGCCCAGGAGGAGAGGAGGAGGGCCCAGGAGGAGAGGAGGAGGGCCCAGGAGGAGAGGAGGAGGGCCCAGGAGGAGAGGAGGAGGGCTCGGGAGGAGAGGAGGAGGGCCCAGGAGGAGAGGAGGAGGGCCCAGGAGGAGAGGAGGAGGCCTCGGGAGGAGAGAGGACATAGGAGTAGAGAGGAGCGGAGAGGAGGAAATGAACATGAGGAGTTAGGAGCAGAGGAGACAGGAGGAGTTAGGAGGAGAGAGGCAATAGGAGCAAGGAGGAGAGGAGAGGAGAAAGAGGGAGCTAGGAGGAGAGGTGAGGAGATAGGGCATAAAGGAGAGGAGTTAGAAGGAGTCAGGAGCAGAGCAGAGAGGAGTTAGAAGGAGTCAGGAGCAGAGCAGAGAGGAGTTAGAAGGAGTCAGGAGCAGAGCAGAGAGGAGGCGTTAGAAGGAGTCAGGAGCAGAGCAGAGAGGAGGCGTTAGAAGGAGTCAGGAGCAGAGAGGAGGCGTTAGAAGGAGTCAGGAGCAGAGCAGAGAGGAGTTAGAAGGAGTCAGGAGCAGAGCAGAGAGGAGGCGTTAGAAGGAGTCAGGAGCAGAGCAGAGAGGAGTTAGAAGGAGTCAGGAGCAGAGCAGAGAGGAGGAGTTAGAAGGAGTCAGGAGCAGAGCAGAGAGGAGTTAGAAGGAGTCAGGAGCAGAGCAGAGAGGAGGCGTTAGAAGGAGTCAGGAGCAGAGAGGAGGCGTTAGAAGGAGTCAGGAGCAGAGAGGAGGCGTTAGAAGGAGTCAGGAGCAGAGCAGAGAGGAGTTAGAAGGAGTCAGGAGCAGAGCAGAGAGGAGGCGTTAGAAGGAGTCAGGAGCAGAGCAGAGAGGAGGCGTTAGAAGGAGTCAGGAGCAGAGCAGAGAGGAGGCGTTAGAAGGAGTCAGGAGCAGAGAGGAGCAGAGAGTCGGGCAGAGAGTTAGAAGGAGTCAGGAGCAGAGCAGAGAGGCGTTAGAAGGAGTCAGGAGCAGAGCAGAGAGGAGGCGTTAGAAGGAGTCAGGAGCAGAGCAGAGAGGAGGCGTTAGAAGGAGTCAGGAGCAGAGCAGAGAGGAGGCGTTAGAAGGAGTCAGGAGCAGAGAGGAGGCGTTAGAAGGAGTCAGGAGCAGAGCAGAGAGGAGGCGTTAGAAGGAGTCAGGAGCAGAGCAGAGAGGAGTTAGAAGGAGTCAGGAGCAGAGCCGAGAGGAGGCGTTAGAAGGAGTCAGGAGCAGAGCAGAGAGGAGGCGTTAAAAGGAGTCGGGAGCAGAAGGAGGCCATGCAGATGGAGGTCAGAGATGGCACTTACCCACAGGGCGAGCTGCAGATATGACACACGTGATTGAGACAAATGCAACATAAAAAACACAAAAATCCGCAAATGAAGATCAAACAAAAGAAACACAAAAGCAGAGTGAGTGTTCTGAGGCGGAGGCGGAGGAGGAGGAGGAGCTCTGTGATGTCACATGACTCCCCCACAGGAGGGTGGAGATAACACTAACTTTGTGGTGACAGTTTGATGTGTTAAGTGTGAGGCTGAATGTGTCATGGTCCAGGTTTTATTCTGAAACTTGCATCTTCTTTAGTTGTACTTCCTGTTTTGTGTGTCAGGTCCTCAAATGTGTCCCCCGTGTCCCGTGAGTCTGTGTTTAAACCCTTCACTCGCTGTTCCGTCAGAGTCGTTACACATCTGTTTTAGTTCTTGTCGTCAGTCCCAGTTCGGTTATTAAGTCCATCATTTTTGAAGTTCTGCGTTTTGGGTTCATTTCGTTTTTCCACCATCACAGAATGTTTTAAAGTTTGAGAAAAATGCATGTAGTGTTAAGTCGTAGATGCACTGATCAAAGCCATGGAGGTGGATATGAGAGGAGAGGAGGTAGGAGGAGTGAAGGCGATCTGAGGAGAGGAGCCATGGAGGTCCCTCGGAGCCATGGAGGTCCCTCAGAGCCATGGAGCGCCCCCAGAGCCATGGAGCGCCCCCAGAGCCATGGAGGTCCCTCAGAGCCATGGAGGTCCCTCAGAGCCATGAAGGTCCCTCAGAGCCATGGAGGTCCCTCAGAGCCATGGAGATCTCCCAGAGCCATGGAGATCCCCCAGAGCCATGGAGGTCCCTCAGAGCCATGGAGGTCCCTCAGAGCCATGGAGGTCCCTCAGAGCCATGGAGGTCCCTCAGAGCCATGGAGGTCCCTCAGAGCCATGGAGGTCCCTCAGAGCCATGGAGGTCCCTCAGAGCTATGGAGGTCCCCCAGAGCCATGGAGATCTCCCAGAGCCATGGAGATCCCCCAGAGCCATGGAGGTCCCTCAGAGCCATGGAGGTCCCTCAGAGCCATGGAGGTCCCTCAGAGCCATGGAGGTCCCTCAGAGCCATGGAGGTCCCTCAAAGCCATGGAGGTCCCCCAGAGCCATGAAGGTCCCTCAGAGCCATGGAGGTCCCCCAGAGCCATGGAGGTCCCTCAGAGCCATGAAGGTCCCTCAGAGCCATGGAGGTCCCCCAGAGACATGGAGGTCCCCCAGAGCCATGGAGCGCCCCCAGAGCCATGGAGGTCCCTCAGAGCCATGGAGGTCCCTCAGAGCCATGAAGGTCCCTCAGAGCCATGGAGGTCCCTCAGAGCCATGGAGGTCCCCCAGAGCCATGGAGATCCCCCAGAGCCATGGAGGTCCCTCAGAGCCATGGAGGTCCCTCAGAGCCATGGAGGTCCCTGAGAGCCATGGAGGTCCCTCAGAGCCATGGAGGTCCCTCAGAGCCATGGAGGTTCCTCAGAGCCATGGAGGTCCCTCAGAGCCATGGAGGTTCCTCAGAGCCATGGAGGTCCCTCAGAGCCATGGAGGTCCCTCAGAGCCATGGAGGTCCCTCAGAGCCATGGAGGTCCCTCAGAGCCATGGAGGTCCCTCAGAGCCATGGAGGTTCCTCAGAGCCATGGAGGTCCCTCAGAGCCATGGAGGTTCCTCAGAGCCATGGAGGTCCCTCAGAGCCATGGAGGTCCCTCAGAGCCATGGAGGTCCCTCAGAGCTATGGAGGTCCCCCAGAGCCATGGAGATCTCCCAGAGCCATGGAGATCCCCCAGAGCCATGGAGGTCCCTCAGAGCCATGGAGGTCCCTCAGAGCCATGGAGGTCCCTCAGAGCCATGGAGGTCCCTCAGAGCCATGGAGGTCCCTCAGAGCCATGGAGGTCCCTCAGAGCCATGGAGGTCCCCCAGAGCCATGGAGATCCCTCAGAGCCATGGAGGTCCCTCAGAGCCATGAAGGTCCCTCAGAGCCATGGAGGTCCCTCAGAGCCATGGAGGTCCCACAGAGCGATGGAGGTCCCTCAGAGCCATGGAGGTCCCCCAGAGCCATGGAGGTCCCTCAGAGCCATGGAGGTCCCTCAGAGCCATGGAGGTCCCTCAGAGCCATGGAGGTCCCCCAGAGCCATGGAGGTCCCTCAGAGCCATGGAGATCCCCCAGAGCCATGGAGGTCCCTCAGAGCCATGGAGGTCCCCCAGAGCCATGGAGATCCCTCAGAGCCATGGAGGTCCCTCAGAGCCATGGAGGTCCCTCAGAGCCATGGAGATCTCCCAGAGCCATGGAGGTCTCTCAGAGCCATGGAGGTCCCTCAGAGCTATGGAGGTCCCTCAGAGCCATGGAGGTCCCTCAGAGCCATGGAGGTCCCCCAGAGCCATGGAGATCCCCCAGAGCCATGGAGGTCCCTCAGAGACATGGAGGTCCCTCAGAGCCATGGAGGTCCCTGAGAGCCATGGAGGTCCCTCAGAGCCATGGAGGTCCCTCAGAGCCATGGAGGTTCCTCAGAGCCATGGAGGTCCCTCAGAGCCATGGAGGTTCCTCAGAGCCATGGAGGTCCCTCAGAGCCATGGAGGTCCCTCAGAGCCATGGAGGTTCCTCAGAGCCATGGAGGTCCCTCAGAGCCATGGAGGTCCCTCAGAGCCATGGAGGTCCCTCAGAGCCATGGAGGTCCCCCAGAGCCATGGAGATCTCCCAGAGCCATGGAGATCCCCCAGAGCCATGGAGGTCCCTCAGAGACATGGAGGTCCCTCAGAGCCATGGAGGTTCCTCAGAGCCATGGAGGTCCCTCAGAGCCATGGAGGTCCCTCAGAGCCATGGAGGTCCCTCAGAGCCATGGAGGTTCCTCAGAGCCATGGAGGTCCCTCAGAGCCATGGAGGTTCCTCAGAGCCATGGAGGTCCCTCAGAGCCATGGAGGTCCCTCAGAGCCATGGAGGTCCCTCAGAGCCATGGAGGTCCCTCAGAGTGTGGGGCCTCACCTCTGACGGTGAGCGTGGCCACAGCCTCCAGTTTGCCGACGCGGTTCTCGGCCACGCAGCTGAACACGCCCTCGTCGCCCACAGACGTCTTCTTGATCCTCAGAACGTAGTCGTCTTTGTCGTACTTGATCTCATACCTGCAGAACAGAGCAGAGAAGGGTTCAGCCTCAGTCCTGGGTCTACAGCCTCAGTCCTGGGTCTACAGCCTCAGTCCTGGGTCTACAGCCTCAGTCCTGGGTCTACAGCCTCAGTCCTGGGTCTACAGCCTCAGTCCTGGGTCTACAGCCTCAGTCCTGGGTCTACAGCCTCAGTCCTGGGTCTACAGCCTCAGTCCTGGGTCTATACAGCCTCAGTCCTGGGTCTACAGCCTCAGTCCTGGGCCTACAGCCTCAGTCCTGGGTCTACAGCCTCAGTCCTGGGTCTATACAGCCTCAGTCCTGGGTCTACAGCCTCAGTCCTGGGTCTACAGCCTCAGTCCTGGGTCTACAGCCTCAGTCCTGGGTCTACAGCCTCAGTCCTGGGTCTACAGCCTCAGTCCTGGGTCTACAGCCTCAGTCCTGGGTCTACAGCCTCAGTCCTGGGTCTACAGCCTCAGTCCTGGGTCTACAGCCTCAGTCCTGGGTCTACAGCCTCAGTCCTGGGTCTACAGCCTCAGTCCTGGATCTACAGCCTCAGTCCTGGGTCTACAGCCTCAGTCCTGGGTCTACAGCCTCAGTCCTGTGTCTACAGCCTCAGTCCTGGGTCTACAGCCTCAGTCCTGGGTCTACAGCCTCAGTCCTGGGTCTACAGCCTCAGTCCTGGGTCTACAGCCTCAGTCCTGGGTCTACAGCCTCAGTCCTGGGTCTATACAGCCTCAGTCCTGGGTCTACAGCCTCAGTCCTGGGTCTACAGCCTCAGTCCTGGGTCTACAGCCTCAGTCCTGGGTCTACAGCCTCAGTCCTGGGTCTACAGCCTCAGTCCTGGGTCTACAGCCTCAGTCCTGGGTCTACAGTCTCAGTCCTGGGTCTACAGTCTCAGTTCTGGGTCTACAGCCTCAGTCCTGGGTCTACAGCCTCAGTCCTGGGTCTACAGCCTCAGTCCTGGGTCTACAGCCTCAGTCCTGGGTCTACAGCCTCAGTCCTGGGTCTACAGCCTCAGTCCTGGGTCTACAGCCTCAGTCCTGGGTCTACAGCCTCAGTCCTGGGTCTACAGCCTCAGTCCTGGGTCTACAGCCTCAGTCCTGGGTCTATACAGCCTCAGTCCTGGGTCTACAGCCTCAGTCCTGGGTCTATACAGCCTCAGTCCTGGGTCTACAGCCTCAGTCTTGGGTCTACAGCCTCAGTCCTGGGTCTACAGCCTCAGTCCTGGGTCTACAGCCTCAGTCCTGGGTCTACAGCCTCAGTCCTGGGTCTACAGTCTCAGTCCTGGATCTACAGCCTCAGTCCTGGGTCTACAGCCTCAGTCCTGTGTCTACAGCCTCAGTCCTGGGTCTACTGCCTCAGTTCTGGGTCTACAGAGATATTTGCGTCCCCGCTCAAACGTCTGACACTTTGTTCCACTCTTCAAAGCGAAACAAAAGGACACATTCTGCTGTCAGTCAAAACCACTCTTTGATTTGTTTGAACGTCAGAAAGAGTGACTTATGGTTCCTTTATGGTTCCTTTGAGTCGACTTTAATTCAGTCTTTTGAGGAAACTGAAGATGTGGAGATTCTGGAGCGAGGAGCAGAACAAACGCCACAGAGAAGGACACAGTCGCCATTTTGACTGCCGCCATTCAAACATTCTCACAGGTTTTCCACCAGTTGTATTTAAAGAAGTGCTGTCAAACTTTTACATTATTTAATCATAATTATTCACACTCAGGTCTTAGTTAGCTCTTATTATTCACATGTTTGTCCTTGTTCTAAATGTTCCTGGATTCATAAAAAGCTAATATTAATCCAATCTCCTCCAAAAAGACAGTATTTGTGTCTAATATGTGCTTTTGTAAATGTTTACAGAGGTTCCTGTCAGTGCTCTGTGGTTCCTGTCAGTGCTCTGTGGTTCCTGTCAGTGCTTGGTTCCTGTCAGTGCTGCTCTGTGGTTCCTGTCAGTGCTCTGTGGTTCTTGTTGCTGCTGCTCTGTTGTTCCTGTCAGTGCTCTGTGGTTCCTGTCAGTGCTCTGTGGTTCCTGTCAGTGCTCTGTGGTTCCTGTCAGTGCTCTGTGGTTCCTGTCAGTGCTGCTCTGTGGTTCCTGTCAGTGCTCTGTGGTTCCTGTCAGTGCTCTGTGGTTCCTGTCAGTGCTCTGTGGTTCCTGTCAGTGCTCTGTGGTTCCTGTCACTGCTGCTCTGTGGTTCCTGTCACTGCTGCTTTGTGGTTCCTGTCACTGTATCTGTGGTTCCTGTCACTGCTGCTCTGTGGTTCCTGTCAGTGCTCTGTGGTTCCTGTCAGTGCTCTGTGGTTCCTGTCAGTGCTCTGTGGTTCCTGTCACTGCTGCTCTGTGGTTCCTGTCAGTGCTCTGTGGTTCCTGTCAGTGCTCTGTGGTTCCTGTCAGTGCTCTGTGGTTCCTGTCACTGCTGCTCTGTGGTTCCTGTCACTGCTGCTTTGGTTCCTGTCATGCTCTGTGGTTCCTGTCACTGCTCTCTGTGGTTCCTGTCACTGCTGCTCTGTGGTTCCCGTCAGTGCTCTGTGGTTCCTGTCAGTGCTCTGTGGTTCCTGTCACTGCTGCTCTGTGGTTCCTGTCACTGCTGCTTTGTGGTTCCCGTCAGTGCTCTGTGGTTCCTGTCAGTGCTCTGTGGTTCCTGTCAGTGCTCTGTGGTTCCTGTCACTGCTGCTCTGTGGTTCCTGTCAGTGCTCTGTGGTTCCTGTCACTGCTCTGTGGTTCCTGTCAGTGCTCTGTGGTTCCTGTCAGTGCTCTGTGGTTCCTGTCAGTGCTCTGTGGTTCCTGTCAGTGCTCTGTGGTTCCTGTCACTGCTGCTGTGGTTCTGTGGTTCCTGTCACTGTCTGCTTTGTGGTTCCTGTCACTGCTCTGTGGTTCCTGTCACTGCTGCTCTGTGGTTCCTGTCAGTGCTCTGTGGTTCCTGTCAGTGCTCTGTGGTTCCTGTCACTGCTGCTCTGTGGTTCCTGTCAGTGCTCTGTGGTTCCTGTCAGTGCTCTGTGGTTCCTGTCAGTGCTCTGTGGTTCCTGTCACTGCTGCTCTGTGGTTCCTGTCACTGCTGCTTTGTGGTTCCTGTCACTGCTCTGTGGTTCCTGTCACTGCTGCTCTGTGGTTCCCGTCAGTGCTCTGTGGTTCCTGTCAGTGCTCTGTGGTTCCTGTCACTGCTGCTCTGTGGTTCCTGTCACTGCTGCTTTGTGGTTCCCGTCAGTGCTCTGTGGTTCCTGTCAGTGCTCTGTGGTTCCTGTCAGTGCTCTGTGGTTCCTGTCACTGCTGCTCTGTGGTTCCTGTCAGTGCTCTGTGGTTCCTGTCACTGCTCTGTGGTTCCTGTCACTGCTCTGTGGTTCCTGTCAGTTCTCTGTGGTTCCTGTCAGTGCTCTGTGGTTCCTGTCAGTGCTCTGTGGTTCCTGTTGCTGCTGCTCTGTTGTTCCTGTCAGTGCTCTGTGGTTCCTGTCACTGCTGCTCTGTGGTTCCTGTCAGTGCTCTGTGGTTCCTGTCAGTGCTCTGTGGTTCCTGTCAGTGCTCTGTGGTTCCTGTCACTGCTGCTCTGTGGTTCCTGTCAGTGCTCTGTGGTTCCTGTCACTGCTCTGTGGTTCCTGTCACTGCTCTGTGGTTCCTGTCAGTTCTCTGTGGTTCCTGTCAGTGCTCTGTGGTTCCTGTTGCTGCTGCTCTGTTGTTCCTGTCAGTGCTCTGTGGTTCCTGTCAGTGCTCTGTGGTTCCTGTCAGTGCTCTGTGGTTCCTGTCAGTGCTCTGTGGTTCCTGTCACTGCTCTGTGGTTCCTGTCAGTGCTGCTCTGTGGTTCCTGTCACTGCTCTGTGGTTCCTGTCAGTGCTGCTCTGTGGTTCCTGTCAGTGCTGCTCTGTGGTTCCTGTCAGTGCTGCTCTGTGGTTCCTGTCAGTGCTCTGTGGTTCCTGTCAGTGCTCTGTGGTTCCTGTCAGTGCTGCTCTGTGGTTCCTGTCAGTGCTGCTCTGCGGTTCCTGTCAGTGCTGCTCTGCGGTTCCTGTCACTGCTCTGTGGTTCCTGTCAGTGCTGCTCTGTGGTTCCTGACAGTGCTCTGTGGTTCCTGTCACTGCTGCTCTGTGGTTCCTGTCAGTGCTCTGTGGTTCCTGTCAGTGCTCTGTGGTTCCTGTCAGTGCTCTGTGGTTCCTGTCAGTGCTGCTCTGTGGTTCCTGTCAGTGCTCTGTGGTTCCTGTCAGTGCTCTGTGGTTCCTGTCAGTGCTCTGTGGTTCCTGTCAGTGCTCTGTGGTTCCTGTCAGTGCTCTGTGGTTCCTGTCAGTGCTCTGTGGTTCCTGTCAGACCATTGTTAGTGGCCCCTGAGATGATTTTCAATGATTATTATTACAGCATTGATGGTGATGTTATACTTCATTTTAAAGCCCATTGTCTCACAAAAAGAACCATATAATTGCATCTGTTCTAAAAGGTGAACTGGAGTATAAGTAAAAGTTATAGTTATCTAAACTCTCAGTCTTCATGTACATCTCTTCATGATATTTGACCCAGTTCTGGTTGAATTTAAACCTATACAAAAATAATATCCAAACTCGAGCTGAATACAGAACAAAATATGTAAAAATATGTATTTTTAACCTCGTTTTATTGTTGTGCTTGTCTGGTGCACACTGGGGACTTTTGAGGATGTATTCCAATGTGGTTTTACTGCAAATGGCAAATAAATGAATCTGAAATAAATATAGAGACTTGGGTGGGCGCTCTGATTGACACCCCCCCAACCCCCCCACCCCGACCAAGAAGGCTTCCCTCAGGTCCTCACTCACCTCCCGCGGGGGACGTCCACATCGTCCTTCCTCCAGCGCACGTTGGGCGGAGGGTCTCCTTGTACCAGGCAGCGGAACTCCACCGGCTCCTCCTCCAGCACCACCTGGTTTATGGGCCTCTTCAGGAAGGTGGGCCGCTCTGAGACAGACACAGAGGGAGTGAGGCTCGTAAACATGTTCTGAAGAGTGTGAGCAGAACCAGGACCCGGACCCTGCTCTCTCAGCCCCCCCTTTGGTCCTGGGTCTGGGCAGAGCCAACACTGTATCTGTTAGTTCACTCTGGGGTAATGAGCTGCTTCTGGTGTTAGTGTTTTAGAAGCGTTTTAGAATTGATTTTAAGATTTTACTGATGTCTTTTAAAGTTTGTTTAGGTCTGGCCCCCAGCTACATTCATGAACTTTAACCTCCTACAAACCCTTCAGAATCCTCTCCATCAAAACCCACTTTTATCTTTTCACTGCTCCACTTTGTCTGTGTTTGGTCTGTCTTCTTGTGTTTCCTCTGTTTTTTTTTGTGTATCCACTGTTTATTATTTTGACTTTGTATTATCATGACAGTTTAGTTGAGTATTATTCTGACTGTGCAGTGCTTTGTATACACTGTTTTTGAAAAGTGCTATGAAAAATAAAGATGTATTATTATTGTTGCAGTCTGACCGTGAGCGCCCTCTGCTGGTGACTCTAAAAGCACGTAAACAGGTGACAAGAATATTGGATATCCGTAAAAATAAGGTCAAGTCTCACAGAAAAATATACACAGCACTCGCTTCACTTTCAGATTGTGTTTCTTATTAATCAAACTGAGCATATTTACAGATTACACCAATTACCTTTGAAATTAATCATAGATACTTGAATTAACTTGAATTCTACAACGCAATTACTTTTACAATTTAACATCAGCATTACTTAAAAACACTTAAACTGTCATTATAACATGTTAGCACACTTCCTGTCTTTGCCAAATGTGTACATTTTATAAGAGATCAATAAAGTTTATCTAATCTCTACACAACATGAACAGCATTACGCAGCAAACAATGACACACACTGGTCCTAAAAGTATTAACTTATTATTATAGTCACATGAGGAAAGGAGCTACACTGACCTTTGAAGGACATTTGTTGTAAACATGTGTGACGTAAACATGTGTGACGTAAACATGTGTGACGTAAACATGTGTGACGCTGATGAAAGCCCGCGAACACTGCAGAGACTCTGCCGTTAGCATTAGCATCGTTAGCTTCTTCGGCGGTTACACAAATACAACTCTCTACGGTTTCACAAAGACTCTAATCTTGCTATACTTTATTACCACAGGTGAGGCGTTTCTGGCAGAATACTGACCTGTTAGAATATGGAAAAGTAATATGCATTTGTTCCACTTCACTGTCTGAGGGGTCACGGTCAATGCGGTCCCCCTGATACATCAGAGCATGACATCAGTTCCGCTTTATTTTTTGTTATTTGTATGACTTCCTGTTTTTGTTGATTTGATTGCATGATTTGTTCATATAATTTCATGCTCTTTGTATTGTTTTTGTTGTTGTCCAATGATTTTCCACCCTTTTAAAACATGTTAACCATTTTCTTATAAACCTATACAGATTTTTAATGTTATCAAAATAAAACTTGTATTTGTTTTTGTAATCAGTCTCACGTCACCAAGGTCCACAACTTGCGGCCTTATTTTATAAATGTTTTGGTTAGTCCCTAGACCACCTGTTGTTAACAAACGTCCTTTTCCTTCACCCTCACGTCACACTATAGCATTATATTTGTGTTCTGGCTGAAGCTCAGGGTTCTTGTGCTCTTACCGAACACAGTGACCTGTGCCGTCTCGCTGTCGCGCTCGCCCACCATGTTGGTGGCCACACAGATGTACATGCCGCCGTCGCTCTTCCTGCTGTTGGAGATCATCAGTTTCCCTGCGCGGATCTGCAGCACAAACATCAGAGTCAAAGGAGCTCCATGGTCCTCTGCCCTGAGTCTCCTTATCACAGTCTCTCCCACAGTCCACCTCTGCTTTCATAACAGCTCCCAGAATAACCTTCATATGCTGTTGCTGCAGTGGATCATAAACAAAACTGTAAAACATCAACATTTCCCACCTGTGAGGAAGAGCCATTATAAAAAAAAGTCAAATGTCGAGTTTGAGATGTCTGCACTCGAATAGTATTTTAATCTATCTTCTTTATTATGCTAAAGCTAGAGATTTTATACTAGCTTCTTTATTATGCTAAAGCTAGAGATGTTATACTAGCTTCTTTATTATGCTAAAGCTAGAGATTTCATTTTACTTTAGTATAGAGTCATTGGTCATTTAAAACCCTGGATCTCTTCATCTTAAACGTTGCATCTCCACCCGGTATGTAAACCAGGTGGAGACAGTGATTAACAGGTGGAGGCTGTGATTGACAGGTGGAGGCTGTGATTGACAGGTGGAGGAGCCGCACCGTGATTCGCTCGTCCTTGTCGTCGATGCGGCTCTTGTCCTTCCTCCAGTAGATGGTGGGCTCAGGGTGACCTCTAGGGGGCACACACTCCAGGATGGCTGGTTCTCCCGCCGCCACCACCGCGTCCGTGGGGTTCTGCCGGAAGTCGTCTCGCAGCACTGCGGAGGACCAGAGGGGGGCGCCGTTACTAACACACATTTATTGACAACAAGTTTCACACTTCAGATCTTTGCTTTTCCACAGTTCTATCTGTTCAACTCGAAAACAACACAACAGCTGACGAGGGTCCACAGTTTGAGAAACACCATTCTATTTCCACGAGTTGGGCCTACTCTACTCAACCCTACTCTACTCTAGCCTACTCTACTCTAGCCTACTCTACTCTACTCTACTCTAATCTACACTACTCTACTCTACTCTACCCTACTCTACTCTACTCTACCCTACCCTACCCTACTCTACTCTACCCTACTCTACTCTACTCTACCCTACTCTATCCTACCCTACCCTACCCTACTCTACTCTACTCTACTCTACTCTACTCTACTCTACTCTAAATGATTGATTGGCCAGAATGCTGCTCAAAGACTTGGTTACCCAGGAATTTCCTGGGATACTTGTTTGTTGTGTGTGGAGGTTGCTAGGATACGGTACAGTACGAGATACTAACGCGTGATGGGAACGCAACCAGGTAGAGTAAAATAGAGTCGTGTAGAGTAGAGTATCCAGGAAGAATTTCTTCGTAACCATGGCTTCCAACAGCTCTGACCAATCACTGTCAGTTAGAACACTTTAGCACCAGCTCGGCCTGGATAGAACCAGGACCAAGAGGGACCAAAGAAAGAGAGTAGAGTAGAGGAGGGTAGAGTAGAGTAGAGCACAGTAGAGTTGAATAGAGTAGAGTAGAGAAGAGTAGAGTAGAGTAGGGTAGGGTAGAGTAGGGTAGGGTAGAGTAGAGTAGAGAAGAGTAGAGTAGAGTAGTGTACAGTAGAGTAGAGTAGAGTAGAGTACAGTAGAGTAGAGTAGAGCACAGTAGAGTTGAATAGAGTAGAGTAGAGAAGAGTAGAGTAGAGTAGAATACAGTACAGTAGAGAGTAGAGTAGAGTAGAGTAGGGTGGAGTAGAGTAGAGTAGAGTAGAGTAGGGTAGGGTAGAGTAGAGTAGAGTAGAGTAGAGTAGAGTAGAGTAGAGTAGAGTAGAGTAGAGTAGAGTAGGGTAGAGTAGAGTAGAGTAGAGTAGAGTAGAGTAGAGTAGAGCAGAGCAGAGCAGAGCAGAGTAGAGTAGAGTAGAGTAGAGTAGAGTAGAGTAGAGTAGAGTAGAGTAGAGTAGAGTAGATTAGAGTAGAATACAGTACAGTAGAGTAGAGTAGAGTAGAGTAGGGTGGAGTAGAGTAGAGTAGAGTAGAGTAGAGTAGAGTAGGGTAGGGTAGAGTAGAGTAGAGTAGAGTAGAGTAGAGTAGAGTAGAGTAGAGTAGAGTAGGGTAGGGTAGAGTAGAGTAGAGTAGAGTAGAGTAGAGTAGAGTAGAGTAGAGTAGAGTAGAGTAGGGTAGAGTAGAGTAGAGTAGAGTAGAGTAGAGTAGAGTAGAGTAGGGTAGAGCAGAGTAGAGTAGAGTAGAGTAGGGTAGAGTAGAGTAGGTCTAATAATCTTAGATACACATGGATTATAAAGAGATCAAAGGGATTCCATCAGTGTGTGACATCACAAACGCCACATGTGATCAGGAAACATCAGCTCAGCGGCTCATGCTAATGTAGCTCCCAGAGGAGAGTGTGGGGCCCCGGGGCCCGTGTCACTCACATGTGGAGAACATAAGGACACAGCGGGGGCCTGAAGGGTCTGTACGAAAGGCCACACACTGCAGGGGTTTGATACACACACACGACATACACACATCACACAAGCCCTCACAGACACACACATACACACACACATGACACACACACATCACACAAGCCCTCACAGACACACGCACACAAACACACATGACACACACACATCACACAAGCCCTCACAGACACACACACACACACACACACACACATGACATACAGACTCACATAAGCCCTCACAGACACACGCACACACACACACATGACATACACACATCACACAAGCCCTCACAGACACACACATACACACACACATGACATACAGACTCACACAAGCCCTCACAGACACACGCACACAAACACACATGACACACACACATCACACAAGCCCTCACAGACACACACACACACACACACACACATGACATACAGACTCACATAAGCCCTCACAGACACACGCACACACACACACATGACATACACACATCACACAAGCCCTCACAGACACACACACACCCACACACGACATACACACACATCACACAAGCCCTCACATACACACACACACACACATGACATACACACATCACACAAGCCCTCACAGACACACACACACACCCACACACGACATACACACATCACACAAGCCCTCACATACACACACACACACATGACATACACACATCACACATGCCCTCACAGACACACACACACCCACACACGACATACACACATTACACAAGCCCTCACATACACACACACACACACACATGACATACACACATCACACAAGCCCTCACAGACACACACACATGACAACACGCAGACCTGATATACACACACACACACATACAAACGAATACATGACAACACACACACACGACATACAGACTCACACACTCACACAATCCCTCACAGACACACACACACCCACACACACACTCACACTCACACAAGCCCTCACAGACACACACACACCCACACACACACTCACACTCACTAAGAAAATAACACACAGAAGTACACAGCACATATAGAGAGATTATAGCTGATGAAATGGTTAGTAAATAAAATAACCAACTATTGACAAAGCAATCACCCGTTTTCTTCCACTTCATCTGTTGCCGGGATCCAAGGGACACACTGTGACTGTGTTAAAACCACATTCTCCAACGGGACCAAGAACTGTTGCTTTATTTCCTCAATCCAAGGGAGACATTTCTTGTATCTTTTCACAACAATCATTTGACTTTGTCCCTTTGGTAAATTGTCATGTTGTAAGGCTGAGCTCTGGTGTGTGTTCTGCTGCACACTGGGGGAGTCTTGCACAGTTTTTCCAGTGTGGTTTTACTGCAAATGGCAAATAAATTCTGAAATCTTGAATTGACTTTTTGCAGTAGAACTTGTACATGTTTTTAGAGGTTGAGAGATTAAGAGATCCTTTACTTGTCCATCAGTGAGAAAGCCGGGAGAGGTAGAGAAGCCCAGGATATGAACCTAGGACCATCTTGCCTCGGAGAAAGCACTTTAAACACACACGGCGGCACACGGCGGCACACAGCGGCTGGCCTCCCGCGGGCCCAGACGCACGCCCAGACGCAGGCCGTGTTCTCGTACCCATGAGCCTGCTTTAATGGTTCCTTTCACACAATCAGCGCTGATCGGCCCCACGGGACCCGCCTCACATCTCTTTCAATTCAAACCACTGCCACAAAAGAATCCCGCTGGCAAATCAAATCCAACGGCCGCCATTAGCCACAACAGGAGAGAACAGCCGACCAAATCTGGACTCTACGGTTCAGGTTTTAACTCTGTATTAGGACTCAGGATCTCATTAGTGTTTCTATAACTGTGTTTGTGTATTTGAACGACAGACAGAAGCATGTTCAGGCTGCTTTAACTGCGCACACTTTAGGGATTAGAATTAGCACAAAGCAAACAGTCGGACCAACGTGACGCCTCCCTCTCCCCCTGGAACCTCCTTTGGCCTGATGCCTCCTCTCCCCCTGGAACCTCCTTTGGCCTGATGCCTCCTCTCCCCCTGGAACCTCCTTTGGCCTGACGCCTCCCTCTCCCCTGGAACCCCTCTGGCCTCCTCTCTCCCCTGGAACCTCCTGGCCTGACCCTCCTCCCTCCCCCTGGAACCTCCTTTGGCCTGATGCCTCCTCTCCCCCTGGAACCTCCTTTGGCCTGATGCCTCCTCTCCCCCTGGAACCTCCTTTGGCCTGACGCCTCCCCTCTCCCCCTGGAACCTCCTGTGGCCTGATGCCTCCTCTCCCCCTGGAACCTCCTGTGGCCTGACGCCTCCCTCTCCCCCTGGAACCTCCCATGGCCTGACGCCTCCCTCTCCCCCTGGAACCTCCCATGGCCTGACGCCTCCCTCTCCCCCTGGAACCTCCCGTGGCCTGACGCCTCCCTCTCCCCCTGGAACCTCCCATTGGCCTGACGCCTCCCTCTCCCCCTGGAACCTCCCATGGCCTGACGCCTCCCTCTCCCCCTGGAACCTCCCGTGGCCTGACGCCTCCCTCTCCCCCTGGAACCTCCTGTGGCCTGACGCCTCCCTCTCCCCCTGAAACCTCCTGTGGCCTGACGCCTCCCTCTCCCCCTGGAACCTCCTTTGGCCTGACGCCTCCTCTCCCCCTGGAACCTCCTGTGGCCTGATGCCTCCTCTCCCCCTGGAACCTCCTGTGGCCTGATGCCTCCTCTCCCCCTGGAACCTCCTTTGGCCTGACGCCTCCCTCTCCCCCTGAAACCTCCTGTGGCCTGACGCCTCCCTCTCCCCCTGGAACCTCCTTTGGCCTGACGCCTCCCTCTCCCCCTGAAACCTCCTGTGGCCTGACGCCTCCTCTCCCCCTGGAACCTCCTGTGGCCTGACGCCTCCCTCTCCCCCCTGGAACCTCCTGTGGCCTGATGCCTCCTCTCCCCCTGGAACCTCCTGTGGCCTGACGCCTCCCTCTCCCCCTGGAACCTCCCATGGCCTGACGCCTCCCTCTCCCCCTGGAACCTCCCATGGCCTGACGCCTCCCTCTCCCCCTGGAACCTCCCGTGGCCTGACGCCTCCCTCTCCCCCTGGAACCTCCCATGGCCTGACGCCTCCCTCTCCCCCTGGAACCTCCCATGGCCTGACGCCTCCCTCTCCCCCTGGAACCTCCTGTGGCCTGACGCCTCCCTCTCCCCCTGGAACCTCCTGTGGCCTGACGCCTCCCTCTCCCCCTGGAACCTCCTGTGGCCTGACGCCTCCCTCTCCCCCTGGAACCTCCTGTGGCCTGACGCCTCCCTCTCCCCCTGGAACCTCCCGTGGCCTGACGCCTCCCTCTCCCCCTGGAACCTCCTGTGGCCTGACGCCTCCCTCTCCCCCTGGAACCTCCTGTGGCCTGACGCCTCCCTCTCCCCCTGGAACCTCCCTTGGCCTGACGCCTCCTCTCCCCCTGGAACCTCCTGTGGCCTGACGCCTCCCTCTCCCCCTGGAACCTCCCTTGGCCCTCCATAAACTTCATATTAATATTTATCCTCTCTGCTGGCAGCCGCTGCATCTGTCAGTCCTCCTCCGGCAACAACAGCGTCTGAGCTGCTGCCGTGGATTATTCCGACATCATTCCCGGCCTGGATCGCAGCAGTGGGCTGGTGTCGAGGAGGCAGCCGCAGGTATCGGCAGGTTCTGTTCAGATTTGGCTGCGTTTCAAACTGTGGGGCGTGTGCGTGGAGTGGGGTCGCTTCAGGGTCAAGCTGGAACCAGAGCCAAACAATAAAATGTGTGCAGAGGTCCCACACTCAGAGGTCCCACACTCAGAGGTCCCACACTCAGAGGTCCCACACTCAGAGGCTCTCACGCTCGTTTGGAAAGCTGGGAATAGGATCGGGCTTTTTGAACTTTGTGTTTGTTTCTTTGTCAGAAAAAACTTAGAGGAAATTCTCACTTTTGAAAAGTGAAAGAAGTGTCAGTGAAGGACATGTATCAGTCCATCTCACTGGTTTTAGTGCACATGGTACTGCAGTACTTATAGTACATGTACATGGTACTGCAGTACTTATAGTACATGTACATGGTACTACAGTACTTATAGTACATGTACATGGTACTGCAGTACTTATAGTACATGTACATGGTACTACAGTACTTATAGTACATGTACATGGTACTGCAGTACTTATAGTACATGTACATGGTACTACAGTACTTATAGTACATGTACATGGTACTGCAGTACTTATAGTACATGTACATGGTACTACAGTACTTATAGTACATGTACATGGTACTACAGTACTTATAGTACATGCACATGGTACTGCAGTACTTATAGTACATGTACATGGTACTACAGTACTTATAGTACATAATAAAACACATTTATAGGAAACACAGCAACATTTTTATAACTGGAAATGCAGCTCCTCATATTTCACTGCTCTGTGCGTCTGTCTGACAGAACCTGATACGACCACATCAGCACACACTCAGAGACCAAGGGCCGAGGGCCGGGGCCAGGGCCAAGGGCCGGGGCTGAGGGGCCAAGGGCCGGGGCCGAGGGCCAAGGGCCGGGGCCGCCACCAGTACCTAGGTCTTATGCCACCACAACAGCAGTAAAAACGTGATCAGCTTTAGTAAATTAACACATTATCAACATTCAAAATATTTAGATTTGAAGAAACAAAAGAGTAATAAGTATTTTAGATGAAGCTGATCTGACTGAATCTGTGAAAGTAACGTCTGTTTAATCAAACAACCAAAGAATTAACTCCAATAAAACCAGAACCATCAGAGCCCAGGAGCCCAGGAGCCCAGGAGCCCAGGAGCCCAGGAGCCCAGGAGCCCAGGAGCCCAGGAGCCCAGGAGACCAGGAGACCAGGAGACCAGGAGCCCAGGAGCCTAGGAGCCACGGCCGTAAACACTTGTGTGTGATCGTTCCAATGTGAATCTGTGCCTTTCCATTTGCAGTTATTACGCCCCATCTCTCTGTGATAGTCTCTGGGGTCAGGGGCCACAAAACTGGTGTTCAGATCAGGAGAGGCGGGCCCCGGGGCCACGTCTGATGAGGAAACACAATGTGAGGCAGGTATAATGTGCTTTTGTGTGAATGCCTTTGTGCACAATGCTATTACACCACAGAGGCGTGTGGTGGAGAGGGGCCCCTGAGAGACCGGGGGCCGAGGAGATGGAGTGTGTCAGACTGTGGTGAGCTACGGCCATGACATGTTTTATAATAGGCTTCAAATGTGTTTCAAATGTGTTTCAAATGTGTTTCAAATGTGTTTCAAACGTGTTCAGGTGCACGAGGAGAGCGGCTGCAGTGGTATTTGGGTCTGACACAGAGCAGAGTCAGACACACAAACGTCAGACACACAAACGTCAGACACACAAACGTCAGACACACAAACGTCAGAACACTCGGACACTCTGGAATTCTGGGAAATGATGTTAGGCACAAATTTACTTTTGTTACTGAGATAGAAAGGTTCATAATCTATGGACTAGGATTTAGGTGACCTTGTTCCAATCAGAGCGACAATTGTTGCTTGTCTCTCTCTGGTCTCTCTCTGGTCTCTCTCTGGTCTCTCTCTCTGGTCTCTCTCTGGTCTCTCTCTGGTCTCTCTCTGGTCTCTCTCTCTGGTCTCTCTCTGGTCTCTCTCTGTGGTCTCTCTCTGGTCTCTCTCTGGTCTCTCTCTCTGGTCTCTCTCTGGTCTCTCTCTGGTCTCTGGTCTCTCTCTGGTCTCTCTCTGGTCTTTCTCTCTGGTCTCTCTCTGGTCTCTCTCTGGTCTCTCTCTGGTCTCTCTCTCTGGTCTCTCTCTGGTCTCTCTCTCTGGTCTGTCTCTGGTCTCTCTGGTCTCTCTCTGGTCTCTCTCTCTGGTCTCTCTCTGGTCTCTCTCTGGTCTCTCTCTGGTCTCTGGTCTCTCTCTGGTCTCTCTCTGGTCTTTCTCTCTGGTCTCTCTCTGGTCTCTCTCTGGTCTCTCTCTGGTCTCTCTCTCTGGTCTCTCTCTGGTCTCTCTCTCTGGTCTGTCTCTGGTCTCTCTCTGGTCTCTCTCTGGTCTCTCTCTCTGGTCTCTCTCTGGTCTCTCTCTGGTCTCTCTCCCTAGTACCCTCTCCTCCCCTCTCCCTCCCCTCTCCCCCCTCTCCTGTCTCCATTCCCCTCTCTGAGCAGTGACTCCCCGTTACCCCTCACCCTGATAGCATCTGAGTCCCGCCTGTCTCTGCCCTGGGCCTCGCTCTGGGCCTCGCTCCTCAGATTGGGAATAACTCCAGAGCAGATAAAGCCCCGGGACACCTCCACACACGGGGGAGAGTGCAGAGGGCTGGGTGGGGCTTGGTGGAAGGTGAGGGAGGTCACAGCAGGAGGTAATGGGATGTCAGAGATAAGACACTGACACCAGCCACAGACATGAACCTATAACCATCTGGACCTTCTGCAGCTGCTGTTTTTCTGATCCAAGAGACGGTTTAGTCCCAGATCTGTCTTCTCCCACTGCATCTGTCATCGTTAGCTGTAGTCTGTTCATTGCTATTCACCCACTGTCCTATTGTCTGTGTCATGGTGTGATGATGGGACCTTTAAATCCAGTCACATTTACCTGCAACTGTGAACTTGAATACCCTGTCCCAGTCTTGGGTCTGCAGCCTCAGTCCTGGGTCTACGGCCTCAGTCCTGGGTCTACAGCCTCAGTCCTGGGTCTACAGCCTCAGTCCTGGGTCTACAGCCTCAGTCCTGGGTCTACAGCCTCAGTCCTGGGTCTACAGCCTCAGTCCTGGGTCTACAGCCTCAGTCCTAGGTCTACAGCCTCAGTCCTGGGTCTACAGCCTCAGTCCTGGGTCTACAGCCTCAGTCCTGGGTCTACAGCCTCAGTCCTGGGTCTACAGCCTCAGTCCTGGGTCTACAGCCTCAGTCCTGGGTCTACGGTTTGATTTTCTGATCTGTTTTTGCTTCATATCATGTTAATAAGGAAACCTGTGCAGAGATTATTTCATGACATTAAAAACCCACAAACTAAAACCAGACTCTTTTATTCTGGGAACAAAAGAGAAACATATTTTTCCTCCCCTGCAGTTGCTGTCACCCCCCCCCCCCCCCCCCCCCCCCCCCCTCTCCCCCTCCTCCCCTCCTCCCCCCTCCCCCCCTCCTCCCCTCCTCCCCCCTCTCCCCCTCCTCCCCCTCCTCCCCCTCCTCACTCATTCCAATCCCCTCTGTGCAGCGTTAATGTAAATCTCATTTAAATGTTGTTAAAGAAGTCATTAACATCCACTCCACAAAGTAATGACTTTAACTCAGAGAAAAACTACTACTGCTACTGCTGCTGCTGCTGCTGCTGCTGCTGCTGCTGCTGCTGCTACTACTGCTGCTACTGCTACTGCTACTACTGCTGCTGCTGCTGCTGCTGCTGCTACTGCTACTGCTACTACTGCTGCTACTACTGCTGCTACTACTGCTGCTGCTACTACTACTGCTGCTGCTGCTGCTGCTACTGCTGCTGCTGCTACTGCTACTGCTGCTACTGCTGCTACTGCTGCTGCTGCTACTACTACTGCTGCTGCTGCTGCTGCTGCTGCTGCTGCTACTACTACTGCTGCTGCTGCTGCTGCTGCTACTGCTGCTACTGCTACTGCTGCTACTACTGCTGCTGCTGCTACTGCTGCTGCTGCTGCTGCTGCTGCTGCTGCTGCTACTGCTGCTGCTGCTGCTACTGCTGCTGCTGCTGCTGCTGCTGCTACTGCTGCTGCTGCTGCTGCTGCTGCTGCTACTGCTGCTGCTGTTTTGTTGTTGTCAAACTTTCAGAGCAAAGACCACAATCCACCTCAAATAAAACACACCGTTTCTAATTAAACAAAGATTTATGAAACTGATATTATTAAGATTCTTTAATCTCGAATAAAATAAATAAAATCTCAGAGGTTGTTTACAGTTGTTTGTTTCCATCTGTGCATGAAGCCTGAGGGTCAGAGTGACACCTCTGATTCTATATTTCCCATTCTGACAGTCCTCATTGTGACCTTCACAGAGCGAGGAAAGAGAATCTCCTCCTTATCTGTGAAAGAGACACCTCCTCACGCTCCTCTGCTCCATTAGAGCTCAGGCTTTGTTTTCATTTGTATTTATGTCACATTCAACTGAAGCTAAAGGTCATGTCCTCAGAGTGAGACCTCCCTCTGATCCACATCCATCTGTACCTCAGAGTGAGACCTCCCTCTGATCCACATCCATCTGTACCTCAGAGTGAGACCTCCCTCTGATCCACATCCATCTGTACCTCAGAGTGAGACCTCCCTCTGATCCACATCCATCTGTACCTCAGAGTGAGACCTCCCTCTGATCCACATCCATCTGTACCTCAGAGTGAGACCTCTCTCTGATCCACATCCATCTGTACCTCAGAGTGAGACCTCTCTCTGATCCACATCCATCTCCTCAGCATCATCTGTATCTCACAGGTCCTGGTCCCCTCTCCTGGTCCTCTCCTGGTCCTCTCTTGGCCCTCTGCTGGTCCTCTCCTGGTCCTCTCCAGGCCCTCTCCTGGTCTCCTCCTGGTCACTCTCCTGGTCCCCTCTCCTGGTCCTCTCCTGGCCCTCTGCTGGTACCTCTCCTGGTCTCCTCCTGATCCTCTCTCCTGTTCCTCTCCTGGTCCTCTCCTGGTCCCTTTCTTGCCCCTCTCCTGGTCACTCTCCTGGTCCCCTCTCCTTGCCCCTCTCCTGGCCCTCTCCTGGTCCCCCTCCTGGTCTCCTCCTGGTCCTCTCTCCTGGTCCTCTCCTGGTTCCTCTCTTGACCCTCTGCTGGTCCTCTCCTGGCCCTCTCCTGGTCCCTCTCCTGGTCTCCTCCTGGTCCCTCTCCTGGTTCCTCTCCTGGTCCTCTCTCCTGGTCCTCTCCAGGCCCTCTCCTGGTCACTCTCCTGGTCCCCTCTCCTGGTCCCCTCTCCTGGTCCCCTCTCCTGGCCCTCTCCTGGTCTCCTCCTGGTCCTCTCTCCTGTTCCTCTCCTGGTCCTCTCCTGGTCCCTTTCTTGGCCCTCTGCTGGTCCTCTCCTTGCCCCTCTCCTGGTTCCCTCTCCTTGCCCCTCTCCTGGCCCTCTCCTGGTCCCCCTCCTGGTCTCCTCCTGGTCCTCTCTCCTGGTCCTCTCCTGGTCCCTCTCTTGGCCCTCTGCTGGTCCTCTCCTGGCCCTCTCCTGGTCCCTCTTCTGGTCCTCTCCTGGTCCTCTTCTGGCCCTCTCCTGGTCCCTCTTCTGGTCCTCTCCTGGTCCTCTCCTGGTCCTCTTCTGGCCCTCTCCTGGTCCTCTCCTGGTCCTCTCCTGGTGCAGTAATGAGGCGTTACCATGGTGACGTGGGGGTGAGAGGGTCTCTGGTTGCCATTTAAACTGCTGCTGTTTTCTTCTGTTAGATTAGTTCCAGTGAAAGGGCATCGAGATACTGCTGCATTTCAGACATCACAACAGGGGCCAACAGGGGACACGAGGGGGGGCACATGTGGGGCCCCTGGGGACCGCACCAGCAATTACAGACCATAGGTTTGTCAGACGCAGGGGCCGCGATCAGGCGACTGATAGTACATTATTTAAAGCCTCAGTTCTATCTCTTTCAAACATGTTCACTGCAGGTCCCTTTAGTGCCACAGACCTGTGGTAAAGTGCTATGTACTGTGTGGTAAAGTGCTATGTACTGTGTGGTAAAGTGCTGTGTACTGTGTGGTAAAGTGCTATGTACTGTGTGGTAAAGTGCTGTGTACTGTGTGGTAAAGTGCTATGTACTGTGTGGTAAAGTGCTATGTACTGTGTGGTAAAGTGCTGTGTACTGTGTGGTAAAGTGCTATGTACTGTGTGGTAAAGTGCTGTGTACTGTGTGGTAAAGTGCTATGTACTGTGTGGTAAAGTGCAATGTACTGTGTGATATAGTGCTATGTACTGTGTGGTAAAGTGCTGTGTACTGTGTGGTAAAGTGCTGTGTACTGTGTGGTATAGTGCTATGTACTGTGTGGTATAGTGTAAGTAAGTAAGTAAGTAATCTTTATTTATATACCGCCTTTCACAGACCAGAGTCTCAAAGCAGTTTACAATTGTTATTTTTGGGCATTTGTCTCTCACTCCACACAGAGATGGGAGCGGGGCCAGTACAGGAGGCGCATGCCAGACCTATTGTACATATTTTTAGTGTTAGGGGAAACCGGAGTACCCGGTAGTAGTGCTATGTACTGTGTGGTAAAGTGCTATATACTGTGTGGTAAAGTGCTATATACTGTCCACCACAGTCAGGTGCTGATCTGAGGAAAGATCTGATCCATAGAAAAAAAAATTCAACAGTGATTTCAGCGACTGATTTACTCACAATTACAGACGAACACTGAAGGTGCAGAGTCACAGATGTTTACATATATATATATATATATATATATATATATATATATATATATATATATATATATATATATATATATATATATATATGCTGCTATATATATGCTGCTATATATAGCTGCTATATATATAGCTGCTATATATAGCTGCTATATCCAGCTGCTATATATAGCAGCTGGATATATAGCAGCTGCTATATATAGCAGCTGGATAGCTCA